TCAGCCTGTTAGCATCGGTGAACATGAGTTGTTTCCATAAATCTGAGTGAACTAGAGACCTTTGATCTTTAAGGACTTCATCTGTTTTATCCAAGTAGAAAGTTTGATGTGTTCTCTGAGTTGGTTCTCAGGTTTATAACTGCATTTCTGTCCGTTTGAATCTATTTTAAACACTTTTCACCAGTTTAATGAGTCTTCTGTTTATTTTTATAGAGCCCATTTTAAAACAACTTTATTTGAGCAGTGTTGTGTCTACAAGCTGTAAAACATTACATCTTTTTAGAAATACATCAGCTATAAACATGAAGCATAAATAATAAACAATCACATAAATTAAAAATGGAAACTTTTTCAGTAAAAGCAGAACTCGGTTTTAACCTGTTAAACCCCAAAAACAACCAGATTAGTAAAGTGTGTCTTGTGCACACATGCAGATGCAGACACACATCTCTTGTATTGTAAACAAGTCATTGTAGCTTTTTCATAACTGTTTTATGACACAAGTGGATTTAATGTGTCTTGTTTTGTCCTCACAGGCATCTTCATCGTGGAGCGTCCCGTGACTGCAGGGGTCCCTGAGGTCATCCGGATTCTCGATGAAGATGAAGGTAGGTACCCAGCCCTTCATGTTCCTGCTGATGATGTGGTGTTTGTGGGTCATGGTCAGGCTCCTCCAGTAGAGGCAGAGTTTGCTTTTGAGGGTCTGAGTAGTGATGAGGAGTCGGAGGAGACTGACATTAGCTCAGATTGGTCAGCTTTAGAAGGTTTTATGGCTTCTAGTGAGGACTCTGGTTATGGTAGCTCAGTTCTGGATAGCGATGAAGACCAGCAGCTTCCACCACTAGAAGACATCTGGCTGGCGGTAGCTCCTCCGGCCCCGCCTGAAGAGCTTCCAGAAGATCCCAGGCCTGCCCACGGGAGCGCTGAAGAGGTCCAGGGTGTAGAAGAACCCACTCCTTCTACCTCGGTCCTTGGATCCATCCAGAAGAGGACTGGAGAGCGCTTCCCGTACATCCCACCGAAGAGACCAAGATGGGACGACTCGGACGACTCGGACGACTCCGACTCGGACTAGAGATATGTTTTTCTCCCAGTGCAGCGCCACTGAAGATCATTTCTTTCTTTCTTTCTTGAACTGGTCGACTGGAAACGTTTGTCTCAGGTAGCTTGTTGCACCAGGACTGTTTTTTGCCAGGTCACCAGATGTTTGTTTTAGTCACCAAGTGTTTTATCAAGTCAGCTGAACTGGTGATGTCTTAGGTAGCATCTGGCACCAGGACGTCTTCATCCGTTGGCTGAGTTTAATGTTTTATTATTTAAGAAGTGTGTTTTTAGAGCTGGTAGAACTGGAGATGCTGATGTGGACGGTTTCACCTGGGCTTCTGTGTCTGGTTGCTCAATCTTCTATTTCATTTGGGTCCTGATAGGATTTCCTTTCATCTGATGGAGCAGGCAGTCTGGTTTAGCATCAAAACACACACACACACACACACACACACACACACACACACACACACACACACACACACACACACACACACGCACGCACACACACACACACACACACACACACACACACACACACACACACACACACACACACATGCATATATATTAGTATATGATATTCTAACGTTCACTAGAAGATGTAAGCCTGGAACACAAGAGGCCATCGGAGCAAACAAGATCCCACCTGAGATGGATGGTGAGATGTGGTAGAAGATAAACAAGAGACCAAGGAGGGCAGGAAGATGGAGGCAAAACTACAACTACAGTGATGCTTCTGATAATCTGGTAGAGCAGATAGAGCAGGTCTTAGTGAGAAATGGGACGTTTACTTGGTGACATGAGCATAAGCTGGGGTGATCTTTGATCCGTATGAAAGACAAGGACGATAACATCACCTTCATCATGTCCTTTCTGTTTCACTACCTGTTCTGTCACAAGAAACTGTTCTAACTAATGTGTAGAAAAGTTTGATTCCAGGTTTAGGAGGAGCTCTCCGTGTCTGTTTGTGTCCTCACGTCCTGCTGGACTGAGCTTCTCTGGGCTTTGTGGTCCTGCAGGAACCAGGAAGGAGCTGAACAGCAGAGCTCTGACACAGACGGAGCAAACAAAGGTTTTAGTGTTTAAATGTGCACGCGTTTAAAAATAGCTCTTTACAAAAGTTAAACAATAAATACTAAAATATTAAAGGCTAATAAAATATAGTCTAAACATGTAAATGATTCAAATTAACTTGAATATTTTAACAAGTTACTGTGCTGTTAAATTAAAGCAATAAAGACTCAGATTATTTACATTCAGCATAACTTTAAGATTCACCGCAGAACAAAATTACGATGCGTTTGACCGCGACTAAAGAACGGATAAACATCGTAAAAGAACGAGAAGTTAACGAAAAGCATAAAAGTCAAAGGAGGCTCTAAATCTGTAAAACGTTTATAAAATACTAAAATGAATTTAATTAGAAATAATTATTTATTCTGACGGTTTCTTTTTTCCTGCTTCAAGACAGAATTTATGTTCCAACATTAAATGCTGTGTTGATGCAGGTTTTGCTTTACCGTCTCGGGTCGCCCAAAGCAAAAGGCTCTGGTAACGGAACTCTCAGTAATGAGACGGGGTTCGATTCCCTGCAGGGCCCTGCTGCTTATGCCGACTGAGACTAACGCTGTTCCACTACACGTTACCATTTACATAAAGATAAACTAGGTTCAGTTATTCATTTTAAGGAATTTTGTCATAAATCTTCATAAAAATCTAAATTCCTCTAAACAGTGAAGAGCTGTTTGTCATACGTCACTAAAAAGATGTCTTACAGGGCAGCTCATGCCGCTAGTACGTCGTGTTTAGCTGTATTTTAATCAACTTCATATTCAATAATTACAGAAAATTGTGTTTACAGTTGCAGCAAAACGTCTGAACCCTATGTCGGAGTCCTACACACATTTTAAAGCCATGATATGAAATTTTTTCATATTTTAAAATGTTCTTGAGCCAGTGTGTGCTAAAATGACCGTTAACAGCAAAGGTATGAAGTTCCCAGCCTGGAGGGCCGGTATCGAGCACGTTTTAGTTTGAACTCCGTTTCGACGCACCTGATTTCAACCAGCAGGTGATTAACCCCTCAGCATTCCAGCGTCCCGCCCGAGGGACAAAACCCCATTGCGCTGGAAATTTACGGGGTTAAGCTTCTGCAGAGCCTGGACTGCTGCACAGGTGATTAAACCACTGAATCAAGCATATTGGAGCAGAGAAACCACTAAAAGATGCTGGATACCGGCCCTCCAGGACCGGAATCGAATACTCCTGTTTTAGAGGGTTAATGAACAGCCACCCAGCACATATCGCACCCCTTTGGCCAGAATGTTCTTCTTTCTACTCCAGACTGGCAGTTGGCTCTGTTGGGACTCAAACAAATTTTGAGCTGACATACCTGGAGCTGCAGTCTGCTTCCAGCGCATTTCCTGCATGTTTTAAATAATGAACGCAGCTGATTTATAATATGTTTATTGCCAGACTTAAAGTCCATTTTAAAAGAAACATACAGATAAAAGAAAAACACAAGAAAAGAAAGGATACCAATTAACATTAATACCAATAAAAGCCTGTATAAAATCACAGGATATAACTGCAGTGGAGGTAAGGGACAACAAAACTAACTAGTTGAGATAAATCCACCCAAACATTTTAACCAGTGCATTCTCAGCCTAGACGTATAACGAGAGCAGCTCACAGTGGGATTTGAGAGTGCAACTATAATACTATTGGAAGACTCTTCCAGCCATCTCATAAACTTGAACATTAAATTTCTTAGAAGTGCCTTAAATGTGCACACGCTCACAGAAACACACGTTTGACTAGCACTGCCTCCCCTGGGAGTTTTGAGGAGGATTCTCGTTGCATCATTGTATGCCACTTGTAACCTGTGCAAGCTAGACTTTTTATAGAATGACCACAGATGTGCAGTATATAGTGGTGTGCCGTATGCTTTAAATAATGCCACTTTAACAGGTGTGGAACAACAGCTGAATGTCCGTGCAATGGTGTTTGCTTGCACATGTAGCTCGCAGCACTGCCTGTAAATATCATCATCGTCGCTCATATCGGCTGTGATAAAGTGTCCAAGATATTTCATCTTTTCACAGACTGCAAGACTGTTGCTGGACAACTTAAACACAGGAAAATTATGCCTTTTATCCTGGGTGGTTCTGTAGATTAGAACAACACTTTTGCTCGAGTTATATTTTAAATCATATTCCATTCCATACCCAGTACTAACATCTGCTGCTGATTAGTTCAGTTTAGTGATGAATCACTCATGTAGACACCGAGGGTGGTTTCCAGGAGCACTACTCAGCCTAAAACAGCTCTGTACAGCGTGGTTTGAGTCAGCCCATCTGAAAGCAGGTTTGTTGCCACGCCAGCTCCATGAAGCCCCTAGCCAATCAGCGGCCAGAATCACAATACCGGCCCAACTCAGCCTTGCCAGGTAGCAGGGACTAAAAATAGGGGAGAAAATACCAAAGCGTGCCCTTGGAAACTGTGGTCGGGCTGAACTGCATCGGTCCGAGTTGCCCTGAGTAGTGTTCCTGGAAAAGCACCTTAAGGCTGCAGAACCAGGCATATCAGCTCTACTCACTCCAACAGACCTGACTGGCAATCTGAAGTTGCAAGTGTGGTATTCTGGCCACAGAGCGGTGAGGGTCTGAGTGACGTTTCATTCACCATGCCGGCAAAGACCGCAGCTGACCTGCATCAGCCATCAAGCAGCTCCCAGGACTTAAAAGAGGGGAGAAACAGACAGTCGAGGAGATCCTGGATTAGCCGGAGATTCTCCCTAGCTCACGGACACGTTTTGCTACCGTTACCAATCGGGTTTAAGGTTGTTTACACTGTTACCGTTTGGGTTTAAGGTTGTTGCTAGAGATCCAGGAGTAGCCTGAGATTCTCCCTCGCTCATTATTTGTTTGAGGTTTTCTACAAAGGATCCAGGATTAGCCTGGGTTCCTTCTGAGCGTGTTTTCACATGCCTTGCTAATGGTAAAGCCGTTTTTGGGGTGTTTGCTAGATGATTCTGCCTTAATTATCCTCTCGTTGAAGGATTTAGCTGACTGAACTCTAGTTTCTGATCTCGGTGGTTTTCTTTTATCCCCATAGGACTTTTGAGCCAGGGATATTTATCGTTTAGGTGGTTGTCATCTTAGTTTGGCAGAAAGCCTTTTCATAAGCAGTTAGGCTGCTTATGTTTTTAGTTTCCATTATTATTAGTAAGCCTTGTTTTGCTGATCAGCAGCGGACACCTTTTGTTAATAAATCCTTTTGTTTTTACTCTAACCTCCTCGTCCTTTATCCACTCACACACACCTACACCTATTTTCTTGTGTTAGTCCCCTCATCATCCTAGACCTTCAGAGAGGGGACGTAACAATATCGTCCAAGTCGTACTTCTAGCCAGATTGCTCCTGTGTGTTTTTCCAAGCTTGCCTGATTGTTTTAAGCTGCCTCTTCTCCAGATTTCCACCACCACCTTTCACACCGTGCTGCAACCTACCGGACCAGTCCCGCTGTCTCCCAGCTGCTCCCTGGCTGTCCACTCCATACTGACCTTACCTTACCCGATCCTGCTCCCTATTCCATGCTCAGCTCCTCCAGTCCTCCAGCAACCTGGAAACCCAGTCTCCTGTGATCCAGCAAGTGTGTGTCTCTGTCTCCCACTCGTCACGGACTACCCCCAGACCAAGCCTCCCTCCCTTCTCTGGTTTCCCCTGGATCACAAACTGTAAGTCTCGACCTGTACCTCATTTGTCCGGATCGTCAACATCCACTAACTCTTCCCCTGTCTCTAGAACACCCCCCCCCCCCCCCCCCCCCCCCCCGGAGCCCCAGCTGGACTTTCCTGCTGCGCTTTTAGTTCACGTTTTATAAACATTTTCTTTTTACCATACTCAGACTCTGTGAATGATTCTGCATGTGGTGGGTCAGACGCCTTCCCCCCTAACATGACACTTGGTTTGACAAGTTTTTGTTTATATTTATACATTGTTTTCATTTTGTTCTCAATTCTCTCAACTACTTGGCTTTAGTAGGAGCATGTTTCTTCTCAAGAAGCTTTATTCTGTAAGTGAATAAATATATGGGTGCATATAGGACACACCCAAAGTCTTTTCTGGATTTGAATCATTTGGATGTGACACAGTGATTTAACTATAACGCTGTTGGCAGACAAAGCAGAAATGTGATCAGTAATTCTCAGTTTTTACTGTGATAAAAGCTGAGCCAATCAGTGGATGGGTGGGCGTGTCCAGCAGCAACTTTAACAGTCCCAATGAAATGACTCATTCTGAAAGGTACTGAAAATGTCAAAGAGCTGGTGAGATTGCTTAAAGGGGTCTTGTGCAAAAATCTTCATTTTCCTGTTTTGTATAGACCACAAAATTGTTCTAACTTTAGAAATATAGTCGTAACACGTCCCCTTTAACACGTGCTTTTGTAGCAGGAAGTCCTTTACAGTTCTCCAGTCAGCCCCAAGACAAAATGCACATTGCCGTACATGAAGCATTAAAAAGGCAAAGCGAGGTTTAATTTATACATTTATTCTGATCACAACTGTACAGAAATGTATCGTCACAGCAGAAACACAACCGAAACCTGACCGTGGAACAACAGCCGTCACAACACATCCAGAACTCCAACAGAAATGTACAGGCTCAGATCATTTCCACTCAACATTTAGATTCCTCTTGATCATCATCATAGTTATTATTATTCACATAGAACTATCTGTCTTTCAAATATATCTTAGTTTTAAAGAGCATAAAAATACAAGTGGACTTTTCACTAGGATGAAAACTGGTGGCTGAGCCACCGTCTGGCTTATATGAAGGGAAAACACTGAAAACTGGGGGCGTCGGGAGGAGTGAAGCCAACTTATTACAGCTTACCAGATTTATTGTAATTTCATATATTTATATTAGCTCATGCAACGCTTTGCAGTAGTTACAGAAGGTTGCAGACATTTGGGGGTTGACTTTTAGGCTTAAATCACTCGGACATCACTGACACAAAGGGGCGTTGTCAAAGAAATCATGAAGCTGTTAAACAAAGGGAATAGATAAATACGAAGGCACGGAGATTTGCAGAATAAACACCAAATTTAGAAATAATGGTGATAAAAGAGGAAGACGAGAAGGAGGTTAAGTTGATTAAAGGCTATTTTACTAACCAAACACTAGAGGGCGCTGTAGGAGCGCCTGTTTTAAACCTATGTGTGAATGTTGATTGGATGGGCTATATAAAGCCTTGAAATGTAAAGAAATATATTTTTGAAATCACTGTTGTGCAGTATAACAGTTTTGTATGGTAAAATCTGACGAGCGACCGGAAAAAGGGCACTTTGGGCTCTTCGGACAAAAGGGGCAGGTGCTCAAGCACCCCCCCCCCCCCCCCCCCCACACACACACACACACACCCCACCCTCCCGCACGTGCCTGTTGTGGGGTGCCAGTGGAGGTGTAAAGAAGGTCTGAGAGAGTGTTGTTAACCAGAACTCTTTGTGATCTGTTAGTTAAGAAATCCAGGATCCATAGGATCATCTGATCATCCAGGTGAAAAAGAGAAGTGAGCTTGCCAGCCAGGATGTGAGGTTGCAGGGCGTTAAACGCTGAAGAGAAGTCAACAAACAGCAGTCTAGCTGAAGAGTTTGGGATCTCCAGATGTCTGTGTACAATGTCTAAGATGAATGTTTTTGCATCAACAACACTTCTCCCTTTCCGATACGCAAACTGAAGTGGATCTAACTGAGGGTGTAAGGCTCCGATAATGTGATGTTTCAGGATCCTCTCCATATCCTGCATCGGTAAAGAGGTCAAATCCACAGGTCGAAGATCATTGAGAGCCCTAACCCTGCTGGTCTTGGGGATGGGTATGACCGTAGAGTGTCTCCAGAGCTGGGGAACTGCGCTTGTATCCATGGAGCTCTGGAACAAGGTCTGAAACACACACCCTAGTTGCTGTGCACAGTTTCTGAGAACTCTGCTGCTGATGTGCTCTGGGCCAGGTGCACTTTTCTCCTTAGTCTGCTTAAGAGCTTTCACAACCTCCTGCATGGTAAATCTGAATCTGAATGCAGGGTTCCCAGGGTTTAATTTAGATGTATTTCCTGGAGCTGGACGTGATTATCAGACTCGAACCGAGTATAAAAAGAGTTGAGATCATCAGGCAGAGGTGTCGGTGTGCTGCTCTCCACCTGAATTGACCTGCCACTAGGTGTTGCTATTGCTGTATTTGCTGAGGCCATGGTCTTCAAACCGAGCCAAGCGGAGCAGAGGTTTCCCTCCGTGAACTTTTCCTCCACTTTATCTTTGTATTTCCTGATATATTGCTGATAGCCTTTCGGGGTCTTATCAACAAGACAGTGATTGAAGTCACCCAGAATAAATTTGGGAGTCTGGTGATAACTGCTCAATTTTGTTTACAGTTTTTTTCGATTGCTAAAACTCAAAAAGCAAAAATGAGGCACAATTTTCACAACCTCTACTTCTGTTCCCAATTGCTTGACTCAGTTTATCACTACTTAAGATTTCCTTATCATATTTGAACTCTGATTTTCCTCCTTTACACTCTGATGCCAATTTCACATTACCTTGCTGTCAAAACACAACACACAATTTTCAGGTTTACTCACACTTCTCACATGAACTCTCAAAGCTTCAATCAACAACACACAAATATTCAAATCTCTAAACTTTCGGGTCTGGTGAGCAATTTGCAATCAGGGACTGCAGCATAAAAGTAAGTTTCCACAAGGCTACCCAGGTGTATGAGTGGTTTCAGGTCCACCCACGGTTTTCCATTTTATACCTTCCACCTTATTCCCCCTTCCTCAATCCCACTGAGGAGTTTTTCTCAGCCTGGAGGTGGGGGGTGGGTGGGGTGGGTGGGGCGTGGTTGGGGGGGGTGTGGGGGTGTTAACTGTAAAATTAAAATGTTGTCTCAAAATTTGTGTGATGTCTAATGTTTGTCTCAGAGAAAAGTGAGCACTGTCATACTGTCATGGCTTGTGGAAGGCGTTTAACCCAAGACATGCAGAATCAGCTCAGGAGTCAGGAGGTAAGAAATTAAAGTCTTTATTTAAACAAACGGGAACTGAAGTAGCACTGAAATCCAGTGAATGATGCCGAGGGCGATTGCTCAGAGTTCTTAGCTCAGCGAGCTGCGGGGTGCCAAGGAGATGAGTGTAGTAATCCAGCCGGACGGGAGGTGAGGAAGCAGAGAGGAGAAATGCAGGAGCGGTGGAGGAGGATGAGACGTAAATGAGGATCCGTGGTTCTTAGCAGAATTCGGTGAAGGTTGGGGTGGTAATCCTAGGAGGGCAAACAAACGGAGCTTCAGGAGCAAGTTCAAAGCCGTAATCCAATAAACAGTCCAAGGTCAAAATCCAAGTAATCCAAATATGCGAGGTCAAACAAGTACGAGTGGCAGGCGTTACCAATACTGGAGTAATCATCCGGCTTCGAGTAGTGTCTCCATCCTCCTTTTAAACCTGAGCTCCAAATGAGTAACTCAGAACAGCTGGTACCTCTCCGCTCCTCACCTGTGGAACACAGAACCCCAAAGATTGTTAGTTGAGGAGGAGGACTCACCTAGACCCGAGAACGATGACATCCCCCCCCCCCCAACAGGCGCCTCCCGGCACCCCAGCGGTGGTCCTAGAGGCCTCGAAGTCAGAGATGAGGGAGGGGTCCTCGATGAATGCCCGGGGGACCCACGAACGCTCCTCCGGGCCATACCCCTCCCAGTCCACCAGGTATTGTACTCCCCGACCCCGAGGACGAGAGTCGAGTATCCGCCGAACCTGGTAGACCAGACCACCCTTGTAGTACCGAGCAGGCGGAGGCGGGTCCGGGGTCGGACAGAGAGGACTGATGGCTACTGGTTTGATCAAGGACACGTGGAAAACTGGATGAATCCGGAGAGATCGCGGAAGGTCCAGACGAACGGTCACAGGGCTGGGAACTGCCACAATCTTAAAAGGACCTAGGAACCTGGGAGCAAATTTCTTGGATGTGGCTTTAAGAGGCACATCCCTGGAGGACAGCCAGACCATCTGTCCAGGAGCGTAGGCTGGTGCCGGGCGGGGATGACGATCCGCCAACTGCCAGTTCCGTTCAGCAGTGCGTAGAAGTGCAGCTCTGGTATCCGTCCAAGCTCGACGTGCCCGGCGGAGAAACTGTGGCGTAGTGACGGTGGAGTCTGACTGGTGGGGAAACAGAGAGGGTTGGTAGCCAAGAGAAGCTTCGAAGGGAGACTGACCTGTGGCTGTGGACACATGGCTGTTGTGGGCATACTCCATCCAGGCCAGGTGGTCGCTCCAAGAGGTGGGGTTGGTAGCACATACACAATGCAGCATAGCTCCCAGCTCCTGATTCATGCGCTCACACTGTCCGTTGGTCTGCGGGTGAAATCCGGAGGTTAATGCTACACGGGCACCCAAGGCGTTGGCAAATTCCTTCCAGACTCTGGAAATGAACTGGGGGCCACGGTCAGACAGAATCTCCTCAGGAATCCCATGTAGACGAAACACGTGTTTGATCAGGAGCTGGGCAGTGATGGCTGAAGATGGGAGAGATTTCAGAGGTACAAGGTGGCAAGCCTTGGAGAACCTGTCTACGATAGTCAATATGGTATTGAAACCATGAGAGGCGGGCAATCCACACACAAAATCCAAGGAGATGTGCGACCAGGGACGAGACGGAACAGGAAGAGGACAGAGTAGACCAGCAGGTGAGCGGTTGTTACCTTTATGTTGGGCACACACATGGCACGCCAAGACGTATTCCTTCACGTCCTTGTAAATAGACGGCCACCAGAAGGAGCGCTTAATGAGGGCCAAAGTCCGACCGACACCAGGGTGAATGGAGAACTTTCCAGTATGAGCCCAGTGGATAACCTTGCCTCGCATGACCTGAGGAACAAAAAGTCTGTTTGAAGGACCGTTACCAGGACCGGGATCGACCCTGAGGGCTTCCAGAACTCTGTCTCTGATCTCCCATGTGAGCCCCGCCACCACGCAGGACGGAGGCAGGATAGTGCTCGGAACGGGAACATCCTCAGACGAGTACTGACGGGAAAGGGCATCTGGTTTAATGTTCTTAGACCCTGGCCGGTAGGAAATGACAAAGTTAAATCGAGTAAAGAAAAACGACCAACGGTATTGGCGTGGGTTTAGCCGTTTTGCTTCCTTGAGGTAGGTCAAGTTATTGTGGTCGGTCCAGATCACGAAAGGATGTTCTGCTCCCTCCAGCCAGTCCCTCTGTTAGGTAATTTAATCTATGTTCGGTAATTTAATTTAGCATTATTCACTATTATGTTGCATATTTTAATTTATACTATTGTTCTTATATTACCTTAAACTTAAATTACCTTAAAGGAAGTCAGAACACCCACACAGAGGGATTAGATTCTTAATTTAGTAATCTGTAACAAACCTATTAAACAGACAAACTCTGCAAAGTGATAGAACTCTGCAGAGGGTGAGAGAATCAGACCATACAACACAGAAGCCATTTTCCTCTCACCAAGGAGCCGGGAGCTCATGGAGGGGTTTTTATTGAATCCAAAATGTTCACACCCACAAATACCATTAGCGTGCAACCCCTGCCTGACCAGTTTGGAATAACATCTTGGTCTTAGAATGCACAGGAAAACTTCAGATACTGGATCAAAATGCCTAAAGCAGAAAGGAGTTTCCTAAAACACCCAAACGTGAAAACAAATAACTAGGTCAGGGTTTTTCCTAACCACATTTAAGCAGCAAAGGTGAATGAACTCTTCACATAGACAAAGGAAAAGATTTCACAACAATAATGAACAATTAAAAATACCTAACATTCCCTCCTGATGTTCATTTTTGTTGTTATAACAAATCAGAGTAAGATGTCACTAACCCAATAATCAATGAGCATGAATTATGAATCAAGACAATGATTTTAGCTTAACAATAACCCAAACACCAAAATCTACTTTATTCTGTGTGCCTAGCTTTATTAAGATAACCATAACAGATGCAAGAAACTTTAACACGAGTTGATATGAATTATCAGATACCAGCAAACTCAGTCGATTCCTTGGAATTGCTAGAGGTGGAAAGTTGATGTTAAAACAATGTTTTCCATAGAATGGTGTTGCCCTTTCGTCGATATGAGACAGACGAGTCATCACAGACCCAGACTCTCCTTCTTCAGCTCAAATGTCCTCGTAAGGACGCCCATCTTCACGCAACGTGAAGTGGGGGCAGGGAGACTACCTGCGATGTGACAGGAGAGAGAGAGACATTCTGAGAGATGGTGAGGGGATGTCTTTTGGACAGGGAGCCATGAAACCAGACGGGAGATTTGGGGTACTGGATACGTCGTTGGAGGCAGGTCACAGTGTCGTGTGGACGGACCCAGGAGGGGTCTCAAACACCAGATGTCGATTCCGTTGTTCCTCCCAACTGCTGCTATTCCTTCGTTCCATCAGATGCTGAGGGGCAGTTTCAGAGCAAAGTGCGATCCCCCATCATCAGCAGCGACATGGTGGATTTGTCCTGCAAGCTGAAGGCAGATCGTTTACTTATCTGCCGTCCTGGCGAGCCTGCATGCATCCCATCCGATGATGATCAGTTGTAGTGGCCCTCTCAGCAGTATGCAGCAGTGGGAGGGATGAGAAGAGTGACCTTGACGCCTCATTTGTGGTGGTATCACATGCAACAGGACCCCAAAGTCCTTGGTTCCATGGCCTGCAGTGAGAAAGCGCAAAAGAGTCATTGTGGCTTTTTGACATCTTCAACAACAACCATTCAGCTTTTTGTCCAGTCCAGTTTGAATTAATGAGCCCAAAATTCACCTGAAATTTACCAACAAAGTCCATTCGGGTATCATCTCTAAGCTGGAATCAACTCATATAATCATCAGCAAAGTACATTCATCAATTCATGTTCCATGCTGCATTAAACAACCCACACTATTAGTTTATGTAACCCAATAAGTGATTGATAAGACTCATTTAACAAGAAGTTTTTAGGTTTATGAAAAAGCCAAACACCTTTCTGTAAAAATAGTAAGTCAAACCATTATAGCCAGATATCTCACCTTGGCAAAGATTCTGCTTATGACAAGAATCCAAGAAATAAAAGCAAAATCTCACATCAGGATGTTCTTACTTGTTCACGGATCAGGCAACTTAAAGGCAAAATAAAACATTTAAACAACAGTCACAGTAAAAGAAAAGATGTAAATATATCAATCCAGGAGTTAGAAAATCAAAATGAATAAACTCAAACAACAGTAACTGATTATAACACAAAATCATTAAAAATGAAAAGACTATTCAGCAAAAGAAAGGAACAGAGCTTTAACAATTAACCCTAAGAAATCTATGTATTCCAGGCTGAGATCACTGCTTTTGCTTCAGGGTAAGCCAGAGGCCAAAATAATAAAGAATAAACCTAACTACTCACTAACCCTTGAAGTACCATATATCTGCCTAGCTTATCAAACAAGCAAAAGGTTAAACAGAAATGGCAGCTCACCCTTACTATAGCAGTATTAAAACACAATTTACACCAAGCAAAACGTCCTTACTCAGAAGTTTAGTGACTGGGTCAGAACTCAGAACATTTCTGTCTCTTTTGTCCTTTACTGATAAAGATCTGAGACAAACCTTTGTTTGCTCAGAGCCAGAAAACACTTATCTGATTAACTGTTCAGCAAGCAGCTCAACCAGTCTTGAGCTGGACTGACTTCAGCAGCAGCAGACTTTGAAAAACAAATCAAATAAAGATTTAACAGAATATCGGGGAACCAGGGAGATTCAAACGATGACAACCATTATTTTTGGAATGCCCAAACTGTAGTTTTGTATGCAAACAGGCACTACAAACCTTATAATACCCGGGTTTTAGGTTGTCACCCCCTGAAATCTGGTAAATTCGCACTCCCAGAAAGTAAAAAGTAAAGATAAACCCAATATACAATTAACTGCAAATAAAAGAACATAGGATGGAGTCAGAGTACTTTAAACCAAGCTTTTCATATGTCTCATAAAAGTAGCTCACTTCTCCAAAGAAAATGACAAATGTTACAATTACCCCATATTTACTTAGTCTGACCAATGAAACAAAACAGATTGCCGAGCTAAGGTTTGCATTCCATGAAGGAACCTTACCAATTGAAAACAGAGACCATCCCGAAGCAAAACCACATTCTTAAATTAAATCCAGTAGCAGAAAGCTTCTGTGGACATAGATTAGACCTCCCAGCTACTCTGCCTTCACAGGAACTTGAATCTGGTAAAACCAGATCTGTGTTAGAATTTGCACAAAGGAAAAGAGTTTATCACTTTAAAATGGCAATAAGGCACCTTCTTTACAGTTATACATCATATGAAAAGTCCAAGCAAAAACTATTCATGGGGCTTTATACCACATTAATACCAAATCATACTTTATAATAAAGGTACCTTCTAATTCTGTAACTCATTCATCACAAAAGAGAAATATACAAAGGGGCATTAGGGAACTATTTAGGTCTAAATCCTACGTGATCTATTAGTGTCAACCACAAACCCTGGAAAATCTAGTTTCTAACAGGAAACAAATAATAAATTGCAGGGATCTGGTTTAAGTTAAACTTCTTACTCATCCGTCAACACCTCAAAGTCAGTTTATCACTTCAAAGATTCTATCAGCAGTCACACACCCATGGAGATGACAGCAATCTTTTAGCCACACAAACTGTTCTCATGTCATCCTTTATGGGGAAAATAGAGATTTTTAATGCTGACATGAGATCTCTGCCTAGAAGATTTAATAGTCAGCCTGATGATTGACAGGCTCACGGCTAGGTCGGCTCCTCTATGTTTGGAAACCCCTGCCTCTTTGGGCTCTTGTTATCTGGGCCATCTGACTAGGAGGGACAGTCACATGACATGTGACCTTGACCTCCACAAGTCCAACAAACGAGTGGCTGTGAGTGGTCTAGTGAGGACCACTGATTGCTGTTACGTCCATCCCTCTGGGGATTAAACTTCCCTCTGTAGCTACCCTGCTGGTGATAAACAGCTTTCTTTTTTACACACACACACACTCACACACACACACACACACAACTGAACACACTGTTTCAGAATTACCTTTAGATACATACTTTCTCATACATGCACAGACAGACATTCTCATACATGCACAGACAGACATTCTCATACATGCACAGACAGACAGACAGACAGAAAACAGATAGACAGACAGACAGACAGACAGACAAACAGACAAACAAACAGTCAAAATTGTAGCTACACAATCACACTTAGAAGAACCTGCAGGTTTCATGCATTCAAAAACTCAGATATGCACACACACTGATGCTCAGAACTGCAGTTGTCTCACACACACACACACAACATTCCTTGAAGTTCTGAGTCACCATACCTACACGACAGCTTTCACACACACAGAAACACAATGAGTCAGCAGACGCACAGGATGACAAGGAGTGAATTTTAAAACGGTTTGGATTCTTTAAGCCAATTATAATGATGATTTAACCTCTGTGCACCATGAAATATTTAAAAAACGTGTGGTTGTCCTGCACAGAACTGTTTTTATTGCATTTTCGTATCTCAGATCTTAAACTATAACAGTCTGCGTAGAAGCTAAACCCCAGTGTGATTTCAGCAGTGGTTTGCACATTCCACCAAATTACAACCCACCTATTCGTTGTGGGGGTATTCACATTACAACCCTTTTCTAGCTTTTTACCTCTTTTAATTCTGTCTCTCAGTTTAATATTGCTATCCGCTTTAATGTGGCTGCACATCGCTTCCCATCGCAGTGCCACAAGCAGGCAAGTTGCCATCATCTATCTACGTCAGCGTACATCTCACGTACCTATTTGATGCAGCTGTCATGGTCTGCGTCAGCCCCCTTCCTTTATGTGCCTCCTGGTGTCCTCCATCCCTCTCTAGATTCCCTCTTGTGTCCCTTTGTTCCCCCAGCTCCCCTTGTGCTCTCTTAGCGCCCTCATGTGTCCTTGTCTGCATCCCTGTTATGTGTCTTATGTTGTAGCCCTTTGGCGCCCTCTTGTGTCCTTTTTCTGTGTCAGTTTCTGTGTGTCAGTTTGTGTGTCAGTCTAGTGTCTGATGTTATCTTTTACTGTTTCCTCCCAGGTCAGCTCCAGCCTCGTTGTCCCCAGCTCAGTGTGTGTGTATGTGCTATGTCCTCCTCCAGCTAGTTTGTGTGAGTCCTTCCCTCTGTCTTTAGGAAATTGTTGTTTAGTTTTGTGTTAAGGTATTTGCCATCCTCTGTTTCTGTTTTCCCCATTGAGTTGATTAGTGTCACCTGCCTTCCCTCCAGCAGCTCACCCCACACACCTGCTTCCTGTTTCCCTGATTGCTCCTCCCAGTGTATTTAAGCCCTGTCTGTCTCTGTGTTCTTGTCGGTCCATTGTTGCTTGTCAGCGTTATTAGTCCTGTCAGTCTGCTCGTTCCTCTGGTGTTTTTTGACTCCCTGGATTCTTGGATTTTGGCTCCCTCCCTGTTCTTGGATTTATTCTTTATTTTGGACACATCCTACAATAAAAGGATTTTCTTTATTTCAATTCCTGCCTCGTGTCATCCTGGGTTTTGCAATTTGGGTCCTACTCTCCTAAACGTGACAGCAGCAACAAACGCGTTGGGTCGCGAGTCCAACATGTCCTTGTTGCATAACTCAACGCACTTCAAAGTAAACAGCGTTAAACAGAATCTGTCAAATCCTTCCTGTCAGCAACTGCAAAAGGAGTGTGTGCCTGTGCCAACGGCTGGCCGCTTTAATGCAGCGCTGGTTATTTTGAGGTAAATCTAGCAGGCTATGGTCCAGCGACTCTACAGTTCCAGTCCTCATGCCGGGGCAAGAAACGTCTTTCGTGCGAGAATGGCAAATACTCCACAAACATGAAACACACTGTCAAACGATTGATAGTAAAAGGGTGCTATTAAATCAGGTACTTACTCTCCCTCTGCGTGGCGTCCTGAGTCCGGTAAGCGAGAGCCGTAGGCAGAACATCGCCTGCGGAGCTAAATAGCTGGTTGGTGACATGGTGAGTGTTAATCACAAATCCTCAAAAACCCTGGAAAATCTATTTTTAACAGGAAAATAATAAATTGTTTAATGTGAGGGGCAATCGCGTGAGAAGTGACCTCGACCTTCACAGGTCCAGCAAATGGGCTGTTGTGATCGGGCCTGTGAATTGCACCTCTGCCTCTGTTTAGAAATCTTCCTCCGATTTCCCTTCCTGGCTGGGGTGCTTTGTGGGCCTGATCTGTTATCTGGGCTATTTAGATTGGATGGACAGTCACATGAAAGATGACCTTGACCTCCGCAGCTCCAACAAACAGGTGGTTGTGAGCGGCCCGATGAGGACCACTGTCTCTGGTTGCTGTCACGACCACCTCTCTGGGGTTTAAAACCTTTGCTATAGCTGCCCTGCTGGTAATAGACCACTTCCTCCTCAATGTTATCAATTACTTCTAGGACGAGTTGTGGGCCTGTTTTAGAAGCTTTTGGTTTATCCTTATTCTGACTGCTAGAACGGGTGTTAGATATAAAATTTCCCATTTTGCCCAAGTTATTTTGTTTACTGATCTAGTAAAGCAAGCTGGAAGAGCGTTGATAATGTCCAATTCAGCTGGCCGGCTCTCCAGAGGCAATCTCCCACCGAAAGGCTCTGCTGTGCCCGCATCCTCCACCACTTGTTAGGTAATTTAATCTATGTTCGGTAATTTATTTTAGCATTATTCACTATTATGTTGCATATTTTAATTTATACTATTGTTCTTATATTACCTTAAACTTAAATTACCTTAAAGGAAGTCAGAACACCCACACAGAGGGATTAGATTCTTAATTTAGTAATCTGTAACAAACCTATTAAACAGACAAACTCTGCAAAGTGATAGAACTCTGCAGAGGGTGAGAGAATCAGACCATACAACACAGAAGCCATTTTCCTCTCACCAAGGAGCCGGGAGCTCATGGAGGGGTTTTTATTGAATCCAAAATGTTCACACCCACAAATACCATTAGCGTGCAACCCCTGCCTGACCAGTTTGGAATAACATCTTGGTCTTAGAATGCACAGGAAAACTTCAGATACTGGATCAAAATGCCTAAAGCAGAAAGGAGTTTCCTAAAACACCCA